AATTATTGACAGGATTTTTTAAATCCCTAATAATTTTGAGCTCTTCGTAAGTAAAAAATAACAAATGACTGATTGAATGAGTGCTTGATTTTCGCATTTAACGATGCGGGGTTAATGCCTACATTTCTGAACATCAATAACTTGCGAGAGTTGAAAAGCTATGATTTCCCTTCATTTCTGGGTGATACCACATCACATACCTACGGCAGAATTCGAATAGTTGCGCGCTTCATTTCCACATTTCACGATGCGAGGTTAATGCATAGATATATAAACATCAGTTACTCACGAGAAATGAAAGCTGAAAAGCTAAGATTTTCCTTCTTTTCCGTGTGATACCAAATACCATACTCAACACAAAGTCCGCGTACTTGCACGCTTGATTCCCGCCCGATGAGAGGTTGATGCCTACACTTTAAGGCCTCGATACTTACGGCGATTAATCGCCGCGAGTGAAAGACGAAAGCCAATGGAGAGCCTTGATTTCGATGTATCGATGTCAATGGATCGAAATCAAGGCTTCCCATTGGCTTTCTTTCACTCGCGGCGAAATCGCCGAGTGTATCTGGGGCTTCAAACATCAGTTGCGCGCTGCATCTCTGCATTTGCCGATGCGAGCATAATGACAATATTCATTGTTTTCCGATCATTCGGCTCTATTATTTATAGGTTATTCCTAAAGGAATAGAAGCCACTAAACTCTCAATAAAAAAAAAATAAAAAATAAAAAAAAAAATATTTATAGGTTATAGGGCTCTATTATTTATAGCGCATTTTTAATTGGACCGCTTTTAGCAGAAAGGAACCAAGCCACATCAGCTATACTGCCAATTTAATTGGGCAATATAATTTTTACATGAAAACGGTTGTGCAGATTTTTGTACAAATCTCAGTGAGTTTTCTGCATAGTAAGAAGCTTAAAATTTTCAAAGAAATCCAAAAAATTCAAGTTTGAACCTTACAATCAGTTGACTATTCCTCTGCAATTTTTTTTATTATCAGGTTGAAAATTTCAAACTAGCTAGTTTGGACAACAACACACAACACAAACATGTTATATTTTAATATACACACCGGACACGGGCTCTGTATTTTTAAGTGATGTTGCATTACTACAGCACTTAAATATTATTAAATACACTATTCTATTCCTCTACTTTACTAATGTTAATTGAATATATTTTTATATTCATTGATTTGAACATATTTAAGTGCTGTTACATCAGTACAGTACTTAAATATTATTAAATACATTCTTCTCCTGGTAAAAATTGGCAGTAGAATCTGTAATCCAAAATACCATAGACCTAAAGCCGGCTGTAAGATTTTCAATAGCTTCTATAGCCGGCTGCACAATTTTTCACAGCCTTTTATAGCCGATGGCGATTGAGCAACAGCCAGGCGATAAAGTGTATGCTAAATATGTTACTAATTACGGATGCTAGGACTGTTTTTGGATTACCGCTCTATTTTTGGGCCGTAGTATCTTGATTTATTTTGCGAGGAAAGCTCCGTACTTTTGAAGGATGCCTGCCATTCCTAATCTGTTGGAGCGCCTTCAATTTCGTATGATACTGTGCAATACCTCTGGTGTGAAATAGTTGCTTCAAGCGCCGTGGCACGCTGCGGTGCGGCGGGCGGGTATAGCCAGCGCGGAAAGCGCATTAGCGCCTACAAACCTAACATGGATACTTCAAGCATTGCGCAATGCGTGAAGTATCTCTGTTAGGTTTGTAGGCGCTAGTGCGCGCTCAACTCTGGCAGCACGCCGCGCGCCGCTCCGCTCTGTGTTAGGCTCCAATATATAACTCGCGGAGTCAGCGTTTTTCAACCCATGATTTTAAAATGTTTGCACAATGCACATCCTGTGTGGATTATTCTAATTTTAATTGATGAAAAAAATATGTATTAAAGGAAAATATAATGTGTGTTTTGTAAAAATTATGGTGGTTCCGTATCAAACTTAATGATTTCCAAAGCGCACGAATTTCTACACAATTTCTTATAGCCTTTTATAGCCGATGGCGATAAAGTGTAAAGCCCGGCGACAGGAGCTAAAGCCCGGCTGTATACTTTTTTTTATCGCTTCGCATAACCCGGCTGTATGATTTGCTCCCCTTTCTACAGAAAGCTATATGATTTTCTACTGCCTTCTTTAGCCGGCTGTAAGAATTCCTATGGTATTTTGAAACGCGGCTCCTATCGCCAATTTTTACCAGGGTCTACAGGCATCTTTACTTTGCTAAATTTAGCACTCTGGGGTGTCAACGTAGAATACCTGAAGGATCCAAACGAAGGCAATTTCTTAAATTTGAATATTTTTCTCGAGAAGGACCCAAGCCGACTAACTTCTAACGAATCTCTAGATAGTTTTGAAGCGGGAGACCCAATAACGGATGATCTGGAGGATCCTGGTGAGGGTGGCTTGATGGATCTGATTGTTTTCCTCGACAAGGATTTAAGCTGAGCAACTTTCGATGTAAACGAGGTGGCATGCGACGGATGGTTGCAGGTGGTGTATCTCACTTCTAGATTATCCACTTTCACCGAGCCTGTGTTTGCACCGTCCAAGAGTTTGAATTTGAAATGAAGCTGAAACATTAAAGCAAGCTTTAGGAGTGGCACTGGTGGCATAGAAGTGACTTAGGTGTTTGATCAATTATGTTTTAAAAAATACAACTGCTTGGGTAACAGGGCTAGAAGAAAACACGTACATCAAGATGTTCCGGCTGGAAACAACCGGTCTTCTTCAGTTGGATAAAATGTAAAAATAAATTTAAAAAAATAAAACTTTATACTAGATTTTACCTTTCCAGACGAGAAAAGTAAAGTAGTATGATACATCTCGCCTCTCCGTTGCCCAATATCCGCAGAATGTTTAAAAAATAACTCTGCAAATGAGATGAGAAAAATGCGGAGAAAATTACCCACCAATCTACCCGCAATTTTTTTTTTAAAAACTGGATACCACTTAAAAATAACCGAATATAATCGAATAATTTTGTATATAAGTAAGAATGAATAAACCTTTATAGCGTTTACCTTACTCACTGATGAATATTAAAATTTATTAGGCGAGCATTACTCAATGCTGCACCATTACTGAATACGCTCAACTTGATACAATCGACAGCGTCTTTTCCTTGGCGGACCTTGAATGGTCCGCGTTTAGCAGAAAGGAACCAAGTCACATCAGCTGTTGCCAAATTTAATTGGACAGTTTGCTTTTTTACGTTTGTGTGGAGTCTTTTGAAAATTTTAAGAAATTTGCTTCATATTATACAGTTAATTCACTAAAATTTGCACAAAAATCCGCACAACCGTTTTCATGTGAAAAATTTAATTTCCCACTTAAATTTGACAATAGCTGATGTGGCTTGGTTCCTTTCTGCTTCACGCGGTCCATATAACTCCTGAATTGGGAAATTATACTCAAATCTTTCGGGCGTGCATCAAATTGAAATAAGTGAATTTTTCAGGTATATCCTGCGTGTTAAGATTTACGTGTATGTCGCTGGCATTCATCAATCGCCAACAGGTTGCAAGCGGCGCACAGTGGATTGAGTCAATGGGAGAGGTCGGACAAAATTTGGAAACTTCAAAAGCTTATGACACCATTTATACAAAACTTTGAGATTTTAAAAGTGGTTCCAATGGTTTCCTCGTGAAATTTTCATCTAGAAACACCCCTTAAAAATTAAAATTTAACGAATTTAACATGGAAATTTGTAGTTTTTGTCAAGAATGTCATGCCCGACCTCTCTAATTGACTCGATCTACTGTGCAGCGCGCGTGCTTGTTAACTCAACAAATTTGAACGATTCGTATTCGTATTGACATAATAAAGGTTTATTGGTAGAGAGCCTCGATTTCTCGGCACCTTCAGAGTGCCCTCAAATTCAGGCGATACTGCCAGCTTTGCCATCATGAGGTTTGTTTAGTTGCTTACCCGAACCAAACCTTACTTAGGTCACAAATTTGCAATCTTGTACTCGCGAGTATGCTACCCGGTGTCATGAATGTATGCCATGAATAGGCAGGAAAAACTTATTTATTTATTGCTGAATTTTTATCTTGTCTCTTTACCTCTGCACTGGCACATTATTTTTTTTCCAAACAAATACATTGCAAATTGCCCGCGATTGCTAACTGATTGTCTGCGACATATATGTCAACTCTTTTATCAAATTTTGAAGTTTCCAAAGTAACAATTTTCCAGTTCAAGTTAAGTTCAAGTTCCAGTTAACAATTTTCCCTTGTTTACGAGTTATTTGACCGCAAAAAAATAACATACTTGTTTTTTTGGAAAAAACTCTGACCATGATGCAAACCCTGGGGCTAACTGGTAGAGAATATTGGCTGAAACCATCAGTCAATCAGAGACGAAACTCCTTTCTGCCTTATAAGTACAGAATTCCATGAGACCCTTAAAACACACCGTAGTTCTTGCTTTCTTCTTTGAATCATGTGCTGTCTTTCACATTTGCCCTCAACATTTTTGTACAAGGGTCCTAATTCAATACTAAAATTTTGTTTCAGCTTAATGCAGTCTCAAATGACACCTCTAGAAAAAAATGTGAAAAGGAATTCCCGATGGAGTCGATTAGCACGGTATCATAATGTAAATTGGACGCATTTCTATCAAACGGAACTAAGTGCATTAAGACATGAGCCCTGAGACCCACAAGAATACATGCATACAATGGCTCACATCATAATGCACATAGTTCCGTTTGACAGAAATGCATCCAATTGACCGTTTATCCTATTAGATATCAGTAATTTGCTAGTGTCGTACTGACACACTACTGATTTTTCGTGCCAGCATGATATCATACTGACTGAGGATTACATCATGCTGATCGAATTCACCAGCGTTTCTTACCGCGAATGGCGTCAATACATCGATAGAAACAGAGACGCGAGACCATTTTGTCGATGGAGCTCTCACGGTTTTCGACCAAATGCTAATGGAATTCTTCGGCTTGGCATCCACGAAATCAAAAGTTGTCTCCAGCTGTATTCTTAGTAACTGATCAACAAAAAACAAGATTAATTAAAACATTTCTCGAAACTAAAATACGAGTAGGAGAAAATAAGACTTGACAATAATACTGGTACAGGCCTTGCTGGGGGCGACCCAACCTCAGGGGTGCGGCGCATCCCCAACGATCCGCGCGCTTCGCGGGCCTTTGAAGGCCGCTTCTTTCTCTTCTTACTCCCCTTCCTCATCCCGTCCATTGAGCGTCTTAAAAATTATTTTATTAGAATAGGAAGGATATTCGCAGATCATCAGATCAGAAGGATTTTGAAGGGGGAGGAGGAGGGAGATCTGGCTTGCAGGATGATGAGGAAGTTGAAGATGGAGAAGATTCATTTCCTTCCTAATTTCCTTTTCCTAGCTCTTTTTTTGCCTCCTGGGGGCCCAAGGGGGCTCTTCGATTCTTTGTTATTCTTTTTGTTCACTATGTGAAAGATTTAATCTCTTACCTCCAAGGACAAACGCCCATTCCGATGTCCTTCAAAACGGTACATGAACTTTATGCATCCTTTTGGTCCGCGTTTAAATTCGAGAGGACTCAGTCCATGAAAATTGATGCTCCAAATATCGTCCTCAGTGGAATACATAAAATCTAGTGCACATTCCAGACACCTACCCGTTTTATGTGTTGATTCTGAAAAATACAGTGACAGGTAACAGAAAGCGCATCGTTGGGTGAACTAATGGACTCAATATTTGCCTCGGAATGAATCTTATAGGTATGCCAGGTGTTTTAAAAGAAAGTATCCGCCCTGAATATCTTTTGAACGAATAGCCTGTGTCACACTATCAAAGCTAGCCATCAAAATATCAAGGTCAAGTGTTGTGATTGGCTTATTCGATGACTTGGACCAATCACAGCACTTGACCTTGATATTTTAAAAACTGACAATGCTTGTAATTGCAAAACTACTTGGATCAACATGCTGGTCTTTTCTAGTAAACAATTATTTGGCCAGCCAAAATGCTACGCCAGCATTTCACTTGCTTTGTGCATTATTTTGTGAAGCAAACAATTAAATTCTGCTTCAGAATGTTGAATGTTGTAATCAATAGGTGTTCATCTGAACAAAGGTTTTACAGAATATTTGTACCAACATTTACGTTGCAAGAAAGCAACGGAACTTTATACATCTTCACAAATCAAAATAAATTTTAAAAAAAATGAAAGAAGAAGAAGTTATTCCAAAGCCTCCTAGTTTATAAAATCTCTCGTTATGCAATAATACCTAATGGCACTGTAAAATGTCAATAATCATTCAAAGCTCAATACCTTCCTTTGGAACCCATTTCCAGTAAGTGGCTTCTTTGAATCCACACGCATTATAGTCAAAATTGCAAACGACGTCAACAGGAAAACACGATTTTTGCTTTGTTCCTAGAAGAAAAGGTAAGTACATCAGTTTACAAATTATTTTCTGCCTCATCATCGATTTTGCTCCTCTTTTGACCAGCGTCCATTTTACATACACTTAATAATGAATGTGTTTTACTCACAACATGGGAAAAAAGTTCTTGCGAACTAGGTCCTGTTTGCTGTACCGATTTCAAAACATTTTTGTCGTGAGTCTTTAATCGCAGAAATAAGTTAAGCGTTGATTCTTTAAAGAAAGTTTCATTGATTGGGGAAGATAGCCGTGCAAAACTCCTACATTTGTACAATACTCGTATATGTTGTCTGAAAGTGTCTAATTCAAACTTTATTGTTTTCTGCTCACCTTTGAAAAAGGTCTCAAATTCAAGCACATCACTCAGAAATTTTGAATCTCTTTGAACTGACTCTGGCCGTTATGCAGAGTCTTAAAGCCTACTTCAATATTCAGAATCAGTGTGAATCTCTCACGCATTTCATTACTATTTAAGTTAGTAAATTACTTCTTTCAATCCAATAGATTTGAAAAACATGAACAAAACTTACCTTTGCACCTATAAAGTTCTTGAATTTTTTGAACGTCGCCTTTACTGATCTGTTCTTTTTCGCCGGCAGCTTTCATTCTATATCCATTTTTGGCTCTGATAGTATACAATTGGGAAGGATCCTAAAATTGAATATTTATACGATACATCATACTTTACATTCAGAACGTGGTTTGCTGTCCCATGAATCTTATTATGTAATTGTGTTAGGTGCTATATTTTAGATAATGTAAGTTTTGTTAATGATCCTCATGCGTATAGCGCAAACCAGGTACGTTGTGCGTAATTGCGAAGAAATGAAATGAATGGGACTAAAAGGTAAAAAAGGAAAGCTGATTACACAATAGCAAAAACACAGAATAGCTGATCACACAATTTATATTTGACTCTAATTATAATTTTTGGAACTTCTTGGCTTCGATTTCCCCACGAAATGGTGTAGACCCAGCACCATTTCTCCTCTCTGTCACACAATAGCTTAGAGGGATTAATTTGACACCATTGCACATAATAAACATTTAATAATTCCAATAATTGATCCCTCGGTAGCGTTTCAAAGTTACCCAGAAAGCGATGGATTGCAAATTATAGGAAAATTCAATTCAAGTTTGCCAGCAATGTTGCTCCTTTTAGGAACGACTTGGTGACGTATACGTATTGATATGAAGCTACGTTCTTTTACGAGGGACGACGAGTTCAAACCTTCTACATTACCCGCTAATATCTCAAGAAAATAAACACTTTTTTAGTGTATTCAATGAGCTTTCATGAATGAGCTCTCACGACTTCTTCTCATTTTAATCGAGGTTTCTTGTTAGATCACAAGATTGAATTCCTTCTCACTGGATTCCACCCATTAGTGTTCTCATTGTGTAAGTAAATTATATTTTTTTCACCAGAAGTGTCCATTAAATTAAAATGAAACGATTTTCCAAAAATACAAACGGGAAGTTACCTTAGAAAAGGCGACTTCGTCGTAAGCCATAATAGAGTCGTAATCGTACGGCTGTCCCAATAAGTTTGTTGCATTTCTTCGAATTTTCTGAAACGCCGAGATCGCTTCCTGCAAGAAGAGAGGAAAAAGATGCAAGGGCAACTATCAATGTAGTTTCAGGGAAAAATCCACATGTCAGTAACTTTTTTTTTCAAATCAGTAGGTACTTGAGCTTGCACCTGTCTAGATTTCACAAGTTAAGTTTGATTCAAGCAAGTCAAGACGGGTAGGCGGGAACCCTCAAGCCTGCTTCGATCGCATGGTCAACCATCTCAGCTCTCAAACTTGCTATGGTTGAATCTGTCATTCTCAGAAAGACTTGAGCACCAGAGATGAAAATGCGAGAAAAACTATGGAACCTGTATTCATCGATCCGTTTTAAATGTTAGATCAAATAGTAGCGTGATCAATTAAATTAATCTTTTTGATATTTTATTGCTCTGATATTTAGAACGGGGCATCTTAAACGGGCGATACTGTTTTTATTTCGTATTCCTGATCCTGGTGCCTAAATATTATTGAGAATGTTTGATTCAATTACGGACTGCATATAAGAGAGTGGAACCAACTCGATTAGTGCCAGTTTTTCCACAATTGCGCGACTTCTTCTTTGCTCTAAAAATAATAAAACAAGTACATATTAAAACCGAAATGGCCGCGATGAGGTAGGCCACATATCATGAGATTCTACTTATCAAAAGTGTGGGAAGCAACTATTCGAGCAACAATGCACTCGTGTGGTATCCTCCCTCTTTGAGGGCGATTCTCGAAAGTTTTACGCTGTAGGAAAGATACAAGTGCGCGGTTTTTAAAATATACGGCTTCTGCGTCTGCTGGGCTACAGAAAAAAATATTTAAGTGTGAGGAGGGAGATTTTATATGGGAGAAATTTTCGCTCGGTCTACCGGTTTCCGTTGACCGAAACATTGGATTTTCTAATTTCTGTATTAAGAATTCTCTTGCACTTCAAATAATAATTCGAGTGAATTTCACCTCATTTTTGAGCCGAACGAGAATAATTTTTTAAAACACTCCTAAAAAAATTGACCAGGAGCCGAGACCTTAAAATCTGACAATCGACGGTACCCGTCTCTGAATTCCCACTATAAATTTGATTTAATCTTACCGGTTGAATATTTTCCCAGAAAATCTCAACGTAATTGTCTCGATCTGGCCGCGTTACTTCGTCGAAGAGACCTAGCGTGTGTCCCAGCTCATGCATGAAGACCGCCTTGTACCAAAAGTCAGGCGACAATCGTAAAGATTGTTGGCCACCTACCATCCCCACGTGGGCAGAACCGGCACTGCAATTGAAAAAAGGGCCCGCTTCAATTATACCGAAGTCATAACACATGAGTGCCAATCTGGCTTCCTGGAAGTCGAAACAAAATCTGGACTACATTTTGCAATAAATTGTAGGAACTACATAATTTATGTCTCGGTTTTAGCAAGAGCGTATGTGCCATCCGTTTCCCTACGAACATAAGTGTTTTTACGAATGTTCCGGAAATTTGAGCTCCCGTTTCCAACATTTAGTCCATCTGTCAACGCTGAGAAATATAATAAAATATAATTAGTCCGTTTAAATTACAAAAATACAATATGATACACGGTTTTCGGCAACCAAAGTGATTTCGCTCTTAAAATGATCATTCCAGGACCTTGAACAATTTATCAGGTACATATGCTAGTTCCTGCGGGTTGATTGTTGAAACCGATAGACAAAGCAATAGATAAAGGAGATAAAAGGGAAAGGGATCCTTTTGGTGGAAACGGGTGGTTGCAATGGGCAGAGGAGGCTGGTAATAGACTAACTATCGGCAACCCACAAGGGACCCTTTAAATAGTCCATCGTTTTCTCCCTCAGTCAATGACAACCACCAATTTCAACCAAAAGGGTCGCACCATACTCTTCATGTCTTCTTGTTGTCATCTCTTCTGTTGATCCCGACATTCATCAGTCATCATTTGGCGAATTTTATTTGTTTATATTTGCTCAATCCAGCTAAAAATGATGAGTTGGCTATTCAGAATTCGCCTATTCACATGAGTAGAACTTCTTGCTCATACGAGTAGAAATCCTACTCATATCACTAGAATATTCTACTCATAAGAGTAGAAAAGTTCAACTCACATAAATTCAATTTTTTTCACTCTTCAGAACTGCTGTTTCTGACCAGTAGACACCAACATAATGTTTAAATTTGAACTTATACTTATACTTAGGTTTTTTTGATGCGGTGACTAGTTTCTAAGATATGGGACATGGTAGATTCAATGCTGAACTCATATGAGTTGAAATCTCTGGTCATATGAATTGGAATCTCTAGTCATATGAGTTGGTGAAAACTGAATAGAGAAATTCTGCTCATATGAGTTAGATTCTATTCATATAAGTTTAAATTCTATTCATGTGAGTTGAAATTCTATTCATATGAATTGAAATCCTAGTCATACGACTTTGATTTCCTACTCATTTGTACCCACCATTTTTAGCAGGGAACAAGTTGCTAATCAGTCCATCATTAGGCGTAAAGAAGGATTGACCTCCGAATTTCACTGTTATCCCACCCAATGAGTAATGACATTGCTTAGATAGTCAATGCGGGGTCTTAAAAATAGATTGTCTCTGTTTTTGCCCGATTAAATCGAACTTAGTAAGGACTGTCGAAAGGCCGGATTGTGCAGAAAGGTAAAACTTGGAAAAATCGAACCCCAATATGTCGCTGAACGCCACATGAATGCGCACGTAATTAGCTTCACCGCTCCACTCTTTGAATCGGATGCATGTTTTTGTCGCATACTCCTTCATAGCTTCGATCATGATCCGACATTTTGCATTCCTCGGGCACCCTTGGAAAATATGAGCACATCGAATATTAATGTCATAACGTAGTTAAAGATAAGTCAACGGCTGAATTATAAAAATGCGTATCTCACCGGCAGATTCAGCAAATTGGCAACATTGTTTTTTCTTCATTTAAACCTTTGGAAATTTATCGATTCTCGGAGAAGCCAGGTGCTCGAGCAAGAATCGAATATCGACGGTGAAACTACCAAACTACGTATCTCGTTTGCGGTGTTTAAAAATTTACGCTCACATGTTATTTTTTTGAAGCAGACCAAATCAATATCATTCCTTGAAATTTTCACAGAATTTTCTCTGCACGAAGAGGAGAAATCACAGAAATTTTCAAGACTGGACGTTAAGTAGTTTTTCATATAAAAAATAAAGTATGGCAGGAAGCCTGCGACGTCGCAAACCGAGATACGTGGTTTGGTAGTTTCACCGTCGATATTCAACACAGGTTTAAATGGAGGAGAGCCAGTGCTCCCAAATTGCTGGATGCGCCTCCGGCGAATCTCGGACACCAATTTCTGAAGCGAATCTATGACTGCAGTTTTTATAGGCATTTTCTTTGAACCCGATTCACTTTTTCCAGGCATATTACAAAAAATTGTGAGAAAGAGTTTTGATTAGTTTTTGTCGAAGGAAATGAAACATAATCGGAGATTTAGGGGGCACGTAAAAAAAGAAAGAAAGAAAGAAAATTGGAAATTTTGTCTGAATGTCAGGGAAAGACAGACTATTTTGGAGTCAGAGAAAAGCAATAATAAAAGGAAAAGCCAGGGAAAAGTCATGGAATTTGAAGATGAATGAATCGCGGCTCTTTCTGCCAATAAATTTTAGTTCCTCATTGCAAAATTTAGTCCGCTTATGACTAAAGAGCTTACCAACTGTGCGTTCCACTTTGTAGATTACGGCAGCGTGATTCCATAAATTTTGCCATCCGTTCAGCAATCTTTTTTTCCTCACCTGCCAGGAAGATAAGAAAGAATAGAATTTTCGCATATCAATGGGAAAAGTGCAAAACCACGTATTTTCATGGCGATGTTTCCAGATTTACGTTCCTATTTTATTTTTTTGGTCGAGAGAAACAATCCAGCAATCCTTGTTTGCACAGAATATTCTCCTAACAGAGCGGAATTCAGGAAAATCAAGGAAGTTTTCAAGAAGTTAAGATGATTAATTTTCCAAAGAAAAAATAAAGTATGTCAGGAGGTCTGTGACGTTGCAAACGGAGATCCGTGGTTCCGCACTTTGGCTTTCGAGGTTCATAACAGTTGAATTAGTTGTTTTCAAAAGGGAACAAGTCCACTTTTGCATGAGCTCTGGTTTACATGAAAGGACAAGGTATAACTATGGCTCATTACGGAATGGGCCTCGGTTGAATGAATTCAGTTGAGCTAGCGATGTAAGTCACCTACATCATGGATATCGTCCATGCTAACGTCCGAGGGTGTAAACTCCTTGGAGAACACCTAAAATCTCGAAATGGTTGGAAAGTTTTGCACATTTTTTCCACTGGGGTGATGATCCTATAAAATGATGCAAACGATGAATGAAAAAGAAAATGATGAAAAGACTCCTATGAATATATGATAACCCCCATTAAAAATCAAGAAAGAAAAAAGACAAATAGACAGCGTTAAGCAGAAAGGAACGGAGCCACATCAACTATTGCCAAATTTAACTGGTCAATTTAATTTTTCACATGAAAGCGGTTATGCAGTTTTTTGTGCAAATTTCAGAGAAGTTTTTGCATACTGCGAAGCAAATTCCTTAAAATTTCCAAAGGAATTCACACAAACCTTCTCTTGTAAGACATTAAATTGCCCTGTTAAATTCGGCAATAGCTGATGTGGCTTGGTTTCTTTCTGATAAAAGTGGACCAACTAAGTCAAAATCTTTCAATTATTTCAATAATGGAGATGTTGCATGTGTGAGGGATTTGCAATTTGACTGTTGTTTCTTATGTAAAAGTTCGCGAGAAACACGATTGTGCCACTGGTTTTCTCTGAAATCAACTCCCAAGCGCAAAAAAGCTCTCAAAGTGAGGCCAAAATGGAGGGGATATCCCGCCCTACCCTGAGAGTCCACCTCTACATCAAAACAAACTCTCCATGCAAAGATAGGGAGCAAATACATTAGCAGGGTTTTCAGTTTTGGAGTTCCCAAAGAAAGTTGCAGCCCTGTCAATGTATATGCTCCCTATCTTTGCATGGAGAGTTTGTTTTGATGTAGAGGTGGACTCTCAGGGTAGGGCGGGATGCATATCCCCTCCATTTTGGCCTCACTTTGAGAGCTTTTTTTGCGCTTGGGAGTTGATTTCAGAGAAAACCAGTGGCACCATCGTGTTTCTCGCGAACTTTTACATAAGAGACAGCAGTCAAATCGCAAATCCCTCACACATGCAAAATCTCCATTAATCAGTTGATACTGTTGTGTTTGTTTCTTACCTTTGGATCAGGGTTAAAGCGAACCGTGGCCAATTCATCTTCAACCTCAAAATCAGCAGACAGCACTTGAGACCCTCTTTCACTCGCGGCGATTCTGTCTGAGAATACCAGGAGTATAACCAAATTAATCAACAGCATCGCGGATATTATACTCGGCTAGCAAATTTTGTCGTATACCACCCACTGACATTGATTTCCGGGTCCAATTTGCGCGACAACTTATCCGATGACGCATCTTGTTCGATCCATTAGGCACGTGCAAGTTTTTTACAAGTCACAATCTGTGTGACTGACTTCGGTTGTTGTGTACCTACTTACATCTAACTGAATTTAAAAATCAAATTTTGGTGTTTTCTCCTCGTGAACATTAATGCAGGTGGTTTTAAAAAGTTTTTTCAGTGAAAGCAGAACCGAGACATTTAGAAGGCGCGGCCTAGATACATGGGCGATCATAGCTTTTTGGCCGTAATCTATGGTACAAGCAATGAAATTGACAAGAAATATTTATCACAAATTACCTACATATTTTCAGGGCAGGAGAGCCATCGCGATGCTGAACAGGGTGCTCTGGGATCAGAGCATCTCAAAGGCGAACAAGCACCGGATATATGACGCCGCGCCATCGTTAAAAGTATCGTGCTCTATGGTAGTGAAGTGTGGCCTTTGACGAAGAGAACGCAAGAAATGTTGAGGGCAACTGAAATGGATTTTTGGCGGCGATCTGCCAGCACTTCGAGACGGAACCGTGTCCGTAATGAGAGACTTCGCCAGGTGATGAAGGTTGAGAAAGATATCGTGCACGACGTCATGTTCAGGCAGTTATGCTGGTATGGACATGTGCAAAGAATGTCGGAGGAGAGGTTGCCCAAACAAGTTTTGGATTGGGCACCACCTCTGCCGTGATAGCGAAGAGAGCCGTAAGTGCAAAATTTTCGAAATCGAGTTTTCTTCAAAATTCGTCTGAACTCTTTTAGATGAAATTACTGAGACAGCTAAAACAGCAAAATTCATCCTAATTTAGTGAAAACAAGACGTATGAAAAAGCCGTAAGTGCACAAAAAATGACATAGTTTTTTTCAAGACAGCCGCAGGTGCATGAGAGCCGATGAAAACAATGCTTTCCAGTAAGGTGCCGCCCTCTTTTGCTAATATCTAACCTGAACATGTGTTTGTTGTGCGTCCAAAACGCAACCACGAAAGCATGCAGAAGATAGCACTTACGGCTGTCTTGCCTAACAATAACCTAGCATGAACATGAAAAATACCCTTTTCATGTAATGGAAATAAAATCAGTCGATTTTTAATCATCCATACGATTTCTAGGAGTCTTCCGGACGATTAGTGGCAATTTGACGAAGAACGGAGGCTTCTTTCCATAAAATGTTCTTTTCAGAAGCTTCTGAGCCTGTTTTCTCAAAACTTCATTTTTGCACTTACGGCTCTCTTCGCCATCACGGCAGACCTGGGAAGAGGCGACGGGATCGTCTCGTAAAGAGTTGGCGGCAGGGCGTTGACGAAGAGATGTTGCGGTGTCAGTTGCCCGATAACCTCTAGGAAGACAGGCATATGTGGCGTTTGGGTGTCGTAGAACGCCAGAGTGCGCTGTAAAGCAACTTTATATATATACTTACATATTTTCATTACTTACTTGTCATTAGAAATGTAAGTAATTTGTAATAAGTCTTTCTCACCAATTTGATGTCTTTTACTGTTGCTCGGCACGCCCGGAATGAAATAGTTATACAATTCTAGCATAGATTACAGCCAAACAGCTCTACCCAAGTGGGTTTTTTTATTGTTATTGTTTATAATAAGCCAGCTTAAAAGCAAAACCATATCATCGGGCATATGAATAGTACGTCCGCTTTTAAACCTGACATACCCTGTTTATTGTCTATGATGTCAAAAAATCCCGCAAGTTTTGCGTGAAGACATGTAAAAAAATTGGGAAGCTTTTAAGTAATGATAATTTTTGGTAGCTGTTCCATCGCACGAATCCAATTAGACGTATTTTCTCCCTCATGATGCGTCACCAGTGGCGTAACGTGAATGATCGACTTTCGATAGTTCCCCGTTTGAAGCTATTGTAAAGAATCGATCATTAAGGTGTTCGCTGCGAACACCCTGTTTATCGATCTTTTTCCATAGGTTTAAATGGTATAGATCAATCGATACATCGCAAAGCACGCCACGCCGCTGTGCGTCACAGCAATAACCAGATTCCGACCTCGGCACAGCACCTGATGGTGTTTTACTGGAATCTGTTGAGCCGAGTAAAGGTGGCGTATGAATGTTCGGAAGTCGCGAGATTCCTTTTTATAAAAAAGAGGAAGGAAGACGCTTTTTTCCGACGACGAAAAAAGTTTTGTTTTTCTTTCCTTTTCACCTTGGAGAAGGTTTTAACTATATTATATTACTTTATTTTATTCTAGGAGTATTCTAGAAAATCTCATTTATTCTTTACACCCACCTTAACCAAAAATTTTAAAGGAAAATATTCATAACTTGTCTGAGAAATTAATATCCTATCAATAGCAATTTTGCAACATTGGAATGATCATACGGCGCTCTCCCTCGCTGCGGTTGCATGAGGTACAAATTGAGTGTTGACGTCACAACCAAAATGAAAAAATCCACTTAGGCCCCCGGTTTTCGCCTCATAATTACTTTCACCTTTAGCTAAAAATCGTGGGGAACTTTGATTATCTGCTTAATAACCAACAAGGGAGAGTTTTAGCTCGAAAATTTTCCGCCAAAACCAAAAGTAGTGCTAATCAAGCTGCGGTGTTCAAGCCAAGACATCTCCATTAAACACATTTCATGTTTTCCTTTTGTCAGGAGGTTTAGCTGGGCCAAAAAAGTACAATTTCCGATCAGTGACGTAAAGCCCTGTCCATATACGAGCAAAGTTCGCGGAACTTATTCGACGAACTGCTCAGATTCCCGAAACTTGTTCCTTTAAACGAAGGATGCTGTCCATACGAGTTCGCCCGAACTGGAAGCGCGACTTTAATAAAACTATACGAGTATTGCAAAATAATAGATGACTACGGCCGCGGGAGTAACAAAAACAAAGGTGAAAACATGGAGGACGTAAAAAACAAGAACAAACGAATTCACAAAAAAAGAAATATAGATGAAGCTTGGAGTACGGTGGAAGTTCCGAGGTGAGTTTGAAGGAATAAGTTCCCTGAACTAAGTTCCGCGAACCGCGCTCGTGTGGACAAGGCCTAAGGGTGCAGAAAATTATTTGGCTTACTCAGTTTCGAGCAACGAAGATTTCAGCGTACATGTAATTTTTTTTTTTTTGAAACGCGCACCGACGCCTACAAACCTAAGGGGATACTTCAAGCATTGCGCAATGCGTGAAGTATCCCCTTAGGTTTGTAGGCGTCGGTGCGCGATTCGAGCTGGCAGCACGCCGCGCCGCAGCAAGCCATTCCCATAATACTCGAAACATATCGTGTTTGTAATTGTGGAATTTATTAATTATAACGTAATAACTACTACAATTAATTCCTTGTACCTATCTACACGGGTTTAAACTAAAACTAAACGAATTGCATTAAATTTACTGGGTTTTTAGATAATACAATGAATATCTAAAAAAATCAGGAACAGTAAAATTCTCCGCCTTCTTTTTTAGAGATATTAACACCTAAAGGTTTTTAGTTTAATTGTTTCACATGCTTCCTTCCGCACTCCATTCACACTCTCATTCATACCTTACACACCACTTACAAAGTAAATCTTGATGGGAGTTCAAAGGTTTCCCACCTTTTTAACCCTCTCACTAATATTGTACTATCTAAGAGGTTTACAGCTTCTTCATTGACATGTTTTTCTAGTCGACATCGTATCTCCTCGTCGTCTCAGCAAGCACTTGTCTAACCGTGGGTACCTCCAATGCTCTCCTAACGTCTCCTCCTTATGTCCTTACGCCTTCTCTCCTTATGTCTTCGTTCCTTACGAACCATGGTACTCCAATAGTCCTCAAAAAGTCGTAAAAGTCAATTCAACTTTGAAGAAACTTTTCTCGAAGAATATGACTGAAAGCTCTCGATAAGCGGATTAAGTTCTCAAAATTCATTCCTTGGCTCACAGTTTATTTGAGAGAGCAACTTTTGCCCTCCCACTTTTTTTGAAGACTTAATATTATCCTTTATATCTCTATATTGATCTCATTTTTTTAAAGGGAATAATGCGTCATTTTTAATCACATTTTGTTTGTAAGTTTTTGTCTGATCGAATTCCACAAATGTGTAAGTAGCTGTAATTAACGACCAAGTGTTATTTTTTCCTATTTGATCATCATTTCATCATTCATGTAACGTTAGAGATATACAATCTGGCATCGTGATAACGCCTTTCTTATTCATTTCCAAAACTTTGAACAGTTTTTTCTGAAAACAACGTTATTTGACCCTAAGGTAGACTTTTCTCATGATCTTTTGAATAGAATTTGAAAAAAAAAATGTTTTCATCCTAATTGTTTCTCCAGCGATTGAAGAGAGAGGTCTCTGTGATTACTCTTCAAGAAAAATAAAAGAAACCATCATTAAGCTAAAAATTTGTTCAAAAACTCATAAAAATTTAATTTTTTCAATTTTTAAAATCCTTTGTCTAAAGCCACAGAAAAGTCTACAAAATCGAGCAATGACTTTTTTTGAAAATGTATATTATTTAAGCCACTAATTTGATGTAGAAGCCAAGATAAAGGAGTATTTTCAAACACCGTAACCAAGAAATGCATTTTTCAAGTTTCACCGTCGATATATTCTACTGAAGTCAAAAAGTGGACAATTAATTTTTGGTGAGCGGTAAAAATCAATAAAATGTGTATCTTATAGGATGAAAACCTTACAGAGAGAAAAAGTTTTCCCTCAAGCTTGAAATAATTTTATTTTTCCAATATTGCATTAATAGTGTTTACTCATCTTTTTGAGCTGAGCTGAGCTATAGCTTTATCCCATTATTAATAAACACTGTAAAAATATTTAAAATGGGTTAACACGCGCCTCTATCTTATAGATTGTTCAGAAATTTTCTTCCAAGTTTACGTCAAAATTTTTGTACAGCCGCAGTCGTTAAATAGTCAAAAAATAAAAGGGTTGTCGCTCAAGATTAGTGGTTACATTAATAATAGAAAAATAAAATCACATCGAAGTTATTTTTCCGCAGGAAATGGAACCAAAGAAATTCAATAATAATCATACTTGTATCTTGGTTAAATCAATGGTATGAGCGGCGATCTCACATACGATCTCTACGCGCCGCGCCGCGCCGCGCCACTCCAAGGCAATTGCCAACCAATGTTTCGCCTTCAGTTCATGCGCAGGCAATAGGGGGCACACAAGAGTTGCAATGGGCCTGCTGTTTGCTAGAGCCAAAAAACGAGTTGTCTCTAACAGAAAATGGCTCAAAAATCACGATGAGCGCATCGAAAAAGTTTGAGATACACTCCTCCCTTCACGATCTGCTTAAGAAACAAGGTGGAGAAATGGTGCTGGGTCCACACCATTTCGCGGGGAAATTAAAGCCAAGAAGTTCCAAAAAGTATAATTAGAGTAAAACAAGCAGTGAACTCCAACACAATGTGTTGATAAGGCGCGTCATTAACTCGCACATATCAACCCCTTTAGTTTTCATTTACAGAGATTTCAAAATAGGCAAACAGCATAAAAAGAGAATTCACGATCCAACACTGCGAGGTCAAAGACGCACCTTGACGAGACCGTGTATTGTTAAAGTAGAAAGCTATTCGATCGAATTTAAGTTTTTTGATCTGCCTCAAGCAAAATCTTATCAGATTCTTGAAGAAAAGTGCTACGGAATAATTTAAGCGAAGAAAGGAAAAATTCTTCATTCATGAATTGAAAGTAAGCAATCTACATCCCGAAAATCTACTGATTTGCCGTAAAAAATTGCAGAAACTTGATATACCAGGTCGATGCACCCACTCGTTGAATTTACCATGAACCAATTTTGTGAGTGCAAATGTGTAAGAATCAATATGCTATAGTCATTTTGGGTGCATTTATTTTTCATGAAACAATAATAATTTCAATCCCGAAAAACCATCAATTTTCCGTATAAAATCGAAAAAATCAAAATATGTCAACTCCCCGACGTGAAAATTAGATTCTACGAATGTAAAATGTAAATACTTATGTATCGATATGCTGAACAGAACTATGTGTGGACAGTCAGAAGCCCGCGGCAACATTAATTCAACAGAAAAACTGTAAAAATTAGATAGGATTTTAGCCGCTTTGCCCGCCTCTCCTCGCTACTTACAACAAACCGTTCTTATACTCATCTCAAAATTTTTCTCAGAGCTTTGGGTTATTATCAGCTTCCATTTAAACTCCGGTTCGATGGCCGAATCGGCTGCCAAAAAAGCAAGCCACTGTTGAGGGGTTCTATAAGAAATTCGTGATATTATCGGCTCTCAGGAAATCACCCCATGGCTAAAATTGGTGGTATAAATGTTTAAGTGCTTAAAATAATCGTATTCAAGAAACTAAGGAATTAAACTATGGAGTCAATTTCTTTTTAATAATATAACGAATTTACTACCGGTGATTTAGCTATTATAGCCCCAGAATACTTTTAAAGCGCCTTTGCGTTCCAGAATCTCGACGGAATTTTTTTTTTTTTTTTTTTTGCTTAAACGATTCAAGAAACATTGTAGTTAAAAATATAAAGATTTTTCGATTTGGACGTATGAAAAATGTTTAACTCGTTCAGGCACACCGTGTATTGTATGGAGTACTGCTGTTATTCGACCGTTGTCTTCAGGTCAAAATTCTTACAAAGAAGCCCCTTGCAAGAGGCGAATTTTTTGTAATTTCTCCCAGTTTTTTCAGCGTTAGGTATATAAATGAATTGTTTGTCAAATTTTGAGGTCAATTATATTTAATTGTAATTTATACTTTCTTTTTTTCCCCTTCATTTTATTTTTCGTATCGAGGAGTCGAGGTTTTGTTGATTTCTTCGGATTTCGATTACTGTAACTTCTCTTCTATTCGGCCGATTTTTATGAATGAGGTCTCTTTTTATTTGTGTTTTAACGGAGAGTAAGGAAAAAATTGCTAAATACATGCGAAACAATTTTTTTTGAAAATTGGATGAATCCTAGCGTGACGGTGAAATGGTTAATGAAGCGTGAGTAATTGGGGTACGGGTATCGGCCGCGTTGGGACCCAAGGCCCATTGTTCTTCGTGACGCCGACGCAGTGATCAGGAGCGTGGGGACGAGAGGGCTTAGTGGACTCCTGTATGAGCCACGTTTAGCAAATGGTCTAATGAGTCTCGAGGCTCATCACAGATTGCACTTACCACTATCCTGGTGGCCCCGGCTATCAGAGCAAGGAGTACCAACTTTTGAAAAGGATAACAGTGTTGTGGAGATATGTCAAAGCAACGTTGTGAACAAAACGGAGTGAGTGAAATTCTCATTCAAGGAGTGCCGAACTGGTCAGCCATCCTCGAATCAGTTCGCTTGCTTCCGCTTATATATGCATATTTTAAATCAGCGCGCCCCATTCTAAGGTTTTTTTAAAAAAAACCAAGAAACGTAGACTCTTGGTATTCATTACACATAAACTAGCGAGCCCCAGAATGAGAAACAAATTTTAATCACTATTATTGACGGATTAGTAAACTTTTTACACGCTTTGGAAAATCTCAGAAGTTCGCGGTAGTCACTTTTCGGTAAGGAACTAGGGGACTCGGTTATTGTATCGAGGGGGGGGTCGAAACGATCGCAAAGGCGGTATACTACGTATACGCGCCAAAAATAAATTTGTCCAACTCTAATGAGTACCAGTACAAAACTGAGGGGGAGAGTGTTCAGCTCAGGCAGTTTGCATTGGAATCTTCGTGTTCTACAGTTTCTCTTGATTAGGTTGATTTTTACATACTTTAATGACATAAATACATCCAAATGACTGAAATTAACTAATATTAAATTGGAGTCACGGCGAGAGATCTATACCCGTTTGGGTCTTTTTAGACCTCATCGGCAGATCACACTTGCCAGTGATCCCAACTTAACATGCCACAAAATCCAAGACGGCATTAAAACGCCGCCATGCATTGGGTCATATCCATGACAGTATACGGCGTTTTAATGCAGTCTTCAATATTGCGGCATGTTACGTTAGGATCACTGGCGATACTGTATTTTATACGTAATTGTAAGTTTTAATACATATTTTACACATATTAGGATACGTATTTTTGCCGTATCTTGATCTATATTTTATATTGTATTTTGGGTCCTAGGGTGAGTATGATGATCTCCATTTTTGAGAATATGTAAATTAACTTTTAAAATATGAGTTAGTTCAGATAGCTCTAAAAGGTTGGTGTAAGAGCAATGACAATTTCAAATAAAGGTAGGTATTTGATTTTTAGGTATGAGTATGCTCATAAATCAAACACAGCTCTCTGATAATATTTTTTTTTTTAATTTTTGATAATATACATAACTATTCACTCATTGTTAGAATTCAATCTCTGACACTTGTCAGAACGGTTCTCTGGGGTTTTTTTTTCAACATTTTCTGCGCATATTTTATTTCGGTTCTTCCCTGAAGAATTCTGCCTCGTTTTTCCAATATTCATCGTTCGCCGGTATAAGTTCATGCTCTTTGTAAACATGCTCTATCTCCCAAAATTGTTTCCACCAATGTCTATAGAAGTCATCCATCAGTGCCAGTAATGTCTCATACGATAGTACCCGCACTCCTGTTCCGTGGAATGATTCTCTCAAGAACATTCGAGTACGACCTCCTCCTTCGTATTTAGCCCTAAGCCACCCGTTTGGATCGACATCGTACATCTGGAGCACAATGCACATATCATCATGTGTAGGGCACGAACAGCGGTAGTGAGATCGACCGTCTTGATCTTTGTACGCATCGAAATCAGGATCTGGCATTCCATCGGTGATGGGCACAAGACTTCCGCAAGTAAAAAGTTCTGACAGATCTCGTGACACATAACCGTCCGGAGGAATCAGTATATAACCGTACGCTGCATTGCAATCTTCAACGCACGTCTTTTTGAGCTCTGCAGACTCGAGAACTGGAATTCGTGAGATAGGTAATGATTTTCAAGTACAGAAGTTTAAACAAGTCGGGAAAGTCCAATCGAAACTCTGTTAATGTGATTCGACGGTTGCCATATTTTGTATCAGAGCTACGTGTGATATATCGCATCAATTCGTTCCATAATTTCAGTTACTTTTGATTTTTTTCGAATTTTGAGATCGAACTCCTAATGTCATAAGACTAAGGAATTCATGTACCAAATTTGACAAAGAAATTCGACGTAATAAAGACAGGATTTTTTTAAAGGAAAAATATCACTTCGATGCCTTTAATACGTTGAATTTCTTTGTCAAATTTGGCACATGAATTCATTAGTCTCATGACAACAGAAGCTCGATCTCAGAATTCAAAAAAAGTAAAAGTAACTGACATTATGGAACGAATTGATGCGATATATCGCACGTAGCTCTGACACGAAAAATGGAAACCGTCGAATCACCTTGAACCCCCATTTTGCTTTACTGTTAAACATTTCGGAGTGAGATTCTTTGCTGGGGTCTATATACCGCACCCAAAAACTCCGAACGATATGAATGCGAAGATGATTCTATTCTCCCTGCACTTATACGGACACAATGATGGGGCAGAACCTACTCCTATTTCAGTGTCATACGCTTTTAAGGTGCTATTTTCACTTCGCATTCATACCACTCGGGGTATTCGGGCACTATTTAGACTTGGGCACCAAAATTCACCCCTCGATTTTGAACAGTGTGTAAAGCCCGACCCCTATAAACAAATTATCTCAGACTCCAGCATTACTGCTTTCTATTGGCTTTACAGTGCACGTATATTCCTTTCTTACGCAATTTATTATTTTCCTTTCCAACTTGCGCATGTTTTTACTTAAAAAGAAACTTGTTTTCCAGGTCAATCTACTGTTTTACCTATTGACTAGGGGGTATGCCCCTTGACTGTTACGCGGCCCCGGCCCAGCCCTCTGCGCCCTCTAAGGTCTGCTTCTTCGCGGAACCCCTTGGATTAATCTGACATGGAATGAGACTAAAAAAAAACAATTTATCGGCGACCATATTAATGATTGTAAGGCGAAGCGGTTCAGTCACCCATTTGTTTCTGTATTTCTTTTCTTTATGTGTTACACCTTAGGCTGTGTTGCTTTGTATTCATCAGTCAAAAAGATCCTTCATACTATTTGGATGATCAAAAACAGCCAGTTACCCATGAGACGCTCTGGGCTTTGCATGTCACGGCTTCCATGTGCGATGCGTCCTTTTGCGTAGCCTTTATTTTCCCTTTCCAAAATTAGAACGTTATTATGGGTTGCATACCTGTTTCTCATGAAAACCATCATAATGAAAAATTCGATCGATCTGTTCACTTACATGGCTCGTAGCCGTCTTCTGATATTTCTGGCAGACAATACTTCAGAAGAAATTCTGCGGAATCTTCAACAGTTTTTCTTGCCTCAATTCTCCTCCTAGCGAGGCCAAAATCGTCTAGTAAAGCATCAAATTCCTCTTGGGTGGGAGGTTCAATTTTATCCGCTGTATTGTGGGCATGAATTACGCAACAATTATAACATTATATGATAAAGGTATTCATCGAGGAATCATTGAATCAAAGCCCTTCAGAAAATGTATTTTCATTCCTCCCCCCGCCCCCTTTATCACTGCATAGAAAGCCAGGATCGCTTGGTGAGCAGAACTACGTCTGTGACCTCTCAATAAATAAAATAAGAATAGTACCCGAAAATTTCCCGAAAAATTCAACTAAATACACAAGACCACAACAAAAACATATAAAAAATTATAAAAATCAAAATCCCTAGACCCCCATCTGTGATAACAAAAGTGAGGTTACCCTATACCCTGATAACCTTTGTTATGACGAATGGGGGTTTAGGGATTTTGATTTTCATAATTATTTATACATTTTTTTTCCTGGTCAAGAAGGGAGTTGACACCACCATCCCAGGCTTTGTGTTTATTTTTGTATAGCCTTGGTTACTCGTTTTCTTGTGTTTTTTAGTCAATAAATAAGTCTTTAAATGAGTCCGCATTTATCAGTGTCATTTTCGGTATCAATTTCAAACTTATTTAGCCAATCACTGTATTTATATTGACAATAAACAATTTATTTATACATGCTTATGCGTTGCGAGAGTTCCCATATCTTCAGAGCATTTAACAGATACAGTAAACATGCATTAAACACTATTACATGCTAATAATAGGCTATGTTTGCATGGACTCTTGTATTATCACCATACATATAATAGTGCATGTATCTTATGTTTGATTAATGCCCTGAAGATGGGAAAACTCCCGAAACGTGTAAGAATATATAAATAAATTGTTTATCATCTATATATACAGTGTCTTGGCTAAATAAGTATGAAAATGTTAATAAATAAGTCAACTGTTTTCTCAATAAATATGTCAACTTACAGAAGTATGCCATCAATTTCTTCGACATCCTATGGAAAAACTGATGGGGATCCTCCGTCTGGACAGAAGGCTCCGGCTCAGGCATAGGAGTAAGTCTTGTCGGAGACTGCCGTTGAAGTGGATCATGAGGCTGCTGTTCAGGAGCAGACACTAACGGAGGGTCAAATTGGGAAGCAGGGTCCCTCAGATTTTGACATTGACTTTGAAAGCCGTCCTTACTAATTTGATGAAAGATTTTCTGCAAATTCGGCCGTCTGTGTCCATGGGGTCCTCTGATCGATGGGAGGTCATTCGGAGGGGGGGTTGGAGGACGTCTTGGGGGACTTTTGGACCGGCTTTTAGGTGGGGCTTTGGGTTCAACTTTTGGGGGGCTATGGGCTGGGCTCCCGGGTGGAGCCGCCGAGGCGTCATTGACCGGGGTCTTCGGCCGGCGACTGCTCGCAATCCCGGCCCATATTTGTGTTGCCGCTTGTGAGGCTAGCGCGTCACGTGAACCTTCGGGATTGGGTTTGGGCGAACCTCTCCAAGATACTCTACCCCAACCCCCACCAGATACTTTAGGCGATCTTCCACGGGGTGCCTTGGGTATTCCACCAGATGCCCTAGGGAATCCTCCACCAGAAACTTTAGGCGGTGAGGGAGCGGATGTTTGTAGGGGCGAATGACGAGGCGAACGATCTCGAGACGAGCGTTCGTTAGACGAATAATCTTTAGGTGAACGATCTTTAGGCGAACGACCTTTAGAGGAACGACCTTTAGAGGAACGACCTTTAGAGGAACGATCTGTAGGCGAACGATCTATAGGCGAACGATCTTTGGGCGAACTATCTTTAGGCGAACGACCGCGTGGTGAAGGTTCTCGAGACGAACGGTTTTTGGAGGGGCCTTGTCCGGAAGAACGCCTGGAGGAAAGATCGGTCGGACTTCTAGGCAATCTCGTGGNNNTTTTTTTTTTTTTTCGTGTAAGTCAATTGACCTCTCAATAAATATGTCAACTTACAGAAGTATGCCATCAATTTCTTCGACATCCTATTGAAAAACTGATGGGGATCTTCCGTCTGGATAGAAGGCTCCGGCTCAGGCATAGGAGTAAGTCTTGTCGGAGACTGCCGTTGAAGTGGATCATGAGGCTGCTGTTCAGGAGCAGACACTAACGGCGGATAAAATCGGGAAGCAGGGTCCCTCGGATTTTGACATTGACTTTGAAAGCCGTCCTTACTAATTTGATGAAAGATTTTCTGCAAATTCGGCCGTCTGTGTCCACGGGGTCCTCTGATCGATGGGAGGTCATTCGGAGGGGGGGTTGGAGGACGTCTTGGGGGACTTTTAGACCGGATTTTAGGTGGGGCTTTGGGTTCAACTTTTGGGGGGCTATGGGCTGGGCTTCTGGGTGGAGCCGCCGAGGCGTCGCTGACCGGGGTCTTCGGCCGGCGACTGCTCGCAATCCCGGCCCATATTTGTGTTGCCGCTTGTGAGGCTAGCGCGTCACGTGAACCTTCGGGATTGGGTTTAGGCGAACCTCTCCGAGATACTCTAGGCCAACCTCCACCAGATACTTTCGGCGACCCTCCACGGGGTGCCTTGGGTATTCCACCAGATGCCCTAGGGGATCCTCCACCAGATACTTTAGGCGGTGAGGGAGCGGATGTTTGTAGGGGCGAATGACGAGGCGAACGATCTCGAGACGAGCGTTCGTTAGGCGAATAATCTTTAGGTGAACGATCTTTAGGCGAACGACCTTTAGAGGAACGACCTTTAGAGGAACGACCTTTAGAGGAACGATCTGTAGGCGAACGATCTATAGGCGAACGATCTTTGGGCGAACTATCTTTAGGCGAACGACCGCGTGGTGAAGGTTCTCGAGACGAACGGTTTTTGGAGGGGCCTTGTCCGGAAGAACGCCTGGAGGAAAGATCGGTCGGACTTCTAGGCAATCTCGTGGAGGAACTTTGATTCCGGGCATCAGGCAATCGTGACGGGGATGCACTAGGTGAGGACTTGGGTGTGGCCGTGCACTTGCACTTGGGCAAAGCGACTTTCTCGTGTCTGGGCGGTGAAAACTTGGGAAGGACGATGACGTTGCACGTGGAGGCTGGTAATTGAATCTCAATCGGTGAGTAAACAGGCAGCTCCGTGTCCGATTCGGATGCCAGAAAGATATCTTTGTCACCTGTAGGAAGATCAAATTTGAAACCCGCAAAATGTTTTGAAAAAAATAATGAAGTGAAAAATGTTGATTTATTTCAAGCAATGAAATAAAGCAATTGGACGCATTTCTATCAAACGGAACTATGTGCATTATGACGTGAGCCCTGGTATGCGTGTATTCTTATGGGTCTCAGGGCTCATGTCTCAATGCACATAGTTCCGTTTGATAGAAATACGTCCAATTGGTGTTCTTCCTCTTGCTCCCCGTATTCGAACGACTAGGGCATGGCTCTGTTTGTCAGGCCATCTAGTACTGAGCATAGGAAATCATATGTATTATAAAAACAATAAATCTTTAAATTTAAAGGACTCGTCAAATCAATTCAAAACAGCAATAAAATATCCGATAATCCTCAGGTGACGAGAACTAGCTTGTGCCCATCGCTTAAGCGGTCGTCGAGCGGGCTGATTGTTGAAATTAATAGACAAAGCAATAGACAACAAAGACATAGGGAGTATGGAGCGATCCTATTGGTTAAAATGGGTGGTTCCCGTAGACTAAGGGAGAAAATTATGGACTAACTACCGGGTCTCCCGTGAGTTGCCGTTAGTTAGTATATTACCTACCTCTTTTGACCATTTCAACTACCCGCTTTCACCAAGAGGATCCCTCCGTATCCGTGCTGTCTTCTTATTCGATCACTTTGTCTACCGATTTCAACGAGCAGCCCGCAGGTAATCTTTTTTCCCTAAGGATTGTCCCATCATACAGATGTTTGCTAGTCTATCTTCATCCATTTGGTCGAACAGATGATGAAATAAGCAGTGGTTAATTTTAAAAAAATCAAAATGGAAAATATTTAGAAAGAATTGAGGCTTAAAAAGGAGATAACTATGAAGAAAAACAAAATTTAGGAGGAAATTACAGCGGAGGGAGATTCAAGAGAGCATGTCTGATTCCCCGCAATGCGCCAACGGCAAGCTAACATACACGTATATAAAAGCCGATTTTACAACGCTCTGTAGTGCTCGCTCTGCGACGTCTAACCGCAAAAGTATATTATCCTCCCGAGTCCCTATGGGGAGTTGAATCCCATGTTGTGTGTACAACCCCCCCCCCTCCTAATATACGTCATTTGGTACACGAGAACAAACTTTTTTGGGAACAAAAGAAATCACTCTCAAAGTAGAAAGATCGACACACTTTTTTGCCAGTGTGAAGCAGTCACTTATGTAGTATCTCCTCTAAGGTAAGGGCGTATCTCCAGTCCAACACGCACCCTGGAAAGAATAGAGTTATACGGAGCACAGGGCTCACATGGAAAGCGAGATACGCCATTACGTCAGAGGAGCGACGATTTTTGTAAGAGAATCTTGCAAGAAAAATACTTCTTGAAGATAGCAAACCTGCTGACACGTTGGATCCCTGCCTGGCATTTTGAGAGCCGACACCTGAAAAAAGGTAAGGCGGTTGATGAAATTACGATACTTGTGAAAAATTTTACGTCACCTCAGAAATACCAATTGTGGCGTGTTACGTATGGATAGTATTGTATAATACTTACAAATCCAACACGAAAGTAAGTAGTAGTAGTAAAATAATTTTATTTTAAAGCGGTGCTTTAGCATCTGTAAGAAAGAAAGAAAGAAAGAAAGAAAGTAAGAGAAAGGAAGTAGTTGTAGTAAGATAAGTTTATTTTAAAGCGGCCCTGGTAAAAATTGGCAGTAGAACCTGTGTTCCAAAATACCATAGACCTAAAGCCGGCTGTAAGATTTTCAATAGCTTCTGTAGCCGGATGCACACTCTCTCATAGCCTTTTATAGTTGATGGCGATTAAGCAACAGCCAGGCGATAAAGTACGGATGCTAGGACTTATTGAGTTTTTGGACTACCGCTCTATTTTTGGGCCGTAGTATCTTGATTTATTTTGCGCGGAAAGCTGCGTACTTTTGAAGGATGCCTTACTTTTGGATATACTTTTGAATATGTTGGAGCGCCTTCAATTTCGTATGATACTGTGCAATACCTCTGGTGTGAAATAGTTGCTTCAAGCGCCGTGGCACGCTGCGGCGCGGCGGGCAGGTAGCCAGCGCAAAAAGCGCATTAGCGCCTACAAACCTAACAGGGATACTTTAAGCATTGCGCAATGCGTGAAGTGTCCCTGTTAGGTTTGTAGGCACTAGTGCGCGCTTAACTCAGGCAGCACGCCGCTCCGCACTGTGTTAGGCTCCAATATATAATCTCGCGGAGCCAGCGTTTTCAACCCATGATTTTAAATTGTTTGCACATCCTATATGGATTATTCTCATTTTAATTGATGAAAAAAATATGTATTAAAGGAAAATGTAATGTGTGTTTTGTAAATATTATGGTGGTTCCGTATCAAACTTAATGATTTCCAAAGCGCACGAATTTCTACCTTTTATAGTCGATGGCGATAAAGTGTAAAGCCCGGCGATAGGAACTATAGCCCGGCTGTATACTTTTTTTATCGCTTCGTATAGCCCGGCTATATGATTTGCTCCCCTTTCTACAGAAAGCTATATGATTTTCTATTGCCTTCTTTAGCCGACTATAAGAATTCCTATGGTATTTTGAAACGCAGCTCCTATCGCCAATTTTTACCAGGGGGTGCTTTAGCATCTAAGGCCATTTAGGAAAGCAAGTAGTAGTAGTGAGAAAAGTTTATTTTTAAGCGGATGAAGAAAGAAAGAATGAAAGAAAGAAAGAAAAAAATAAATAGATAAATAGATACATATAAATAAACAAACAAAACAAGCCGAGGAAAAAATGAGGAAATAAAAGCATTACAAACGAAAAATCCTGCTATTTCCTGTTTGGATGCAGTGTGAGGGGTCAGGAACCAGTTTTTTTTTTTTATTAAAATTGTTTCAAGGGTATTAATGAAAAACTCATTTTCTTCGCATTTTTTATCCTTACCATAAGATAAATCTTAAAAAACGTAAGATTCTTTAAATATTTCTGAGCACCATCACGCGTGACGCACAAACACGTACAAGAGAATAACCCCCAAAAATCGATTTTTTTGAAAAGAAAAAAATACACCTTTATAAAAGCTCGAACCTTTTGAAACAGCTATGAGAACTGTTAAAATTTGTGTTTGAGGAAACATTTTTCAGGCATATTTTTAAATGAGACTGAAATTACCAAAGGAATTTTTTCTGCAAAAAAAGTGTTGAACATTTTCTAGAGGACCTATTTTGGATGTTACTTGAGACTTAAAACGAACGGGAAAAAATGTTGAAAAATATTTTTTTTAAAAAATAATTTTCCACGTAACTTTTATCAGCCGCAAATTGAATATTATAAAGTATTTCAAAAGGGTCTCCTCAATCACAAGACTAAATATTTCTCCCAGAAGTTTCAAAAATGCATATTGTAGGTCAATGGCACCAGGAAAGCTCATAGGTCACAATCCGTTATTTTCAGCATACCTCCATCAAAGAATGTCGTATATTTAAATTTAAAATTTTCTCCCTGCTCTTCGAGGAAAATCGTTCTCAAGCGATTGAGTTCCACCTTTTTTTGGGCCATTTTTTCCTAAGTTTTTATGCTGAGGTTAAAATTTGAAAATAATGTGAACGTCCAAGTTCAATACTCGTTGGTGGTCACTCGTAGATGAACTTGCTTTAATGCTTGCACGTTAAATTTAAGTCAAATGTTCATACCAGAGGTCAGGAATTTGAAAGTCTTGCTACCCGCACCGTGCAAAAGTTTCAAGCTACCCCTGACACCTGTAATATAATTTGGAGTAACAAAATGAATTATTGTTCCGATGATTTCAACCGCTCTTTCTTTAAGTCAGCACAGTTATATAGTTCATAATGCGATGCGCTACAACTATTTACGTCACTGTGGCCAAAGCGAAAATCAGTCCTGAATCAGTCCATCTTATTTTTGGGATTACCTCTGTGCTTTCATTGGATATTTTGAAGAAGAACCGTATGAAATATCTATGTCGTATGTATTTATGCTGAAAGGAACGAGACATAGGTGGGATAGAAGGAGTGGTCTCGTGAGTCGAGGGCCGTAAGAATGAATGGGAATAATAAAACGTTAGTGGCTTCAGCGTCGACGAAGCACGGTGGATCCAGTCAATGGGAGAGGTCGGACAAAATTTGGAAACTTTAAACGCTTATAACTTCGTTTATTCAAAACTTCGAGGTTCTAAAAGTAATTCCATTGATTTTCTCGTGAAAGAGCGACGCCAAAAACGACCGTTTTTTGGCACAATTTGGGCCAGAAGGGATTTTTCTGAAACCGGGCCCAAACGATACCTTATGATACCCTAAAACTCTGGTAAAAATTTTAGCTTGAGTATACGCACGGTTTTTGAGAAATGAAGGGGCAAAGTTGCCTAATCGCCATCATTCTGGACAACATTTCTACAGCAAAAAGACGGGAAAAATGGACGAAAAAGTTACACCTTTGATGAATTTCGGCTGTACATGTTCTCATTAGGTTCCCAAGCATTTAACTGTGTTCAGTTTCAAACATTTTGGTCGCACAGTGGACCAAAATGGGGAGAAATCGTCGACAAATCAGGATTCTTTGTCAAATTTTTAGAAATGGAAGTAAAATTGTCGGTCTACTGCAGTTTTCATGGCTAACAATGTTCTCATCGGTCATCAATGCATGAAATTGTGTTCAGCTTCACAAATTTACATCGCACAGTGGTCAAAAATGAGGGAATTAGTGGACAAATTAAGATCCTCTGTCAAACTTCTTAAAAATGAAGTGAAACTGTTGGTCCCCAGTAGACTTTAGATCCCGGAAAAATTCATGTTTTTAATTTTTTTAATTATTACTACATGTCAGACCGTATTGTCTATAGAATGTTGTTATAGAATAGACTTTGTAGCATTATCTCAATAAAATATGCAAATTTTCAGAAATTTAAAAAAAAGAAGTAAAAATGGAGAGAAAAAATTAAAAAAAGATTTAAATAGTCAAAAAAAGAATTTAAAGAATTTTTCCAGGATCTTTTCCATTCTTGGCGTCGCTCTTTGCTTCTCAAAACACCCCTTAAAATTTTAAACGTGACGTAATAAACATCTAAATTTGCAGTTTTTGTCAAAAATTTCATGTTCGACCTTTCTAATTGACTAGATCCACTGTGCGAGGTGACGGGGGTGAGGATCTTGATGTCAGGAAGCTTTGAATCATGAGCTCTGTCTACAGTGATCTTGTCACATGCCCACGGCTCATGAGTTAGCATATTTTGGCGCTCTGCTCCTTCTGATTTAATGTCAAATCTACTAATCTATTTTCCCAAAAGGAATTACGCTCACTTTTACATTGTTTTTCAAGCAGCTTGCACATGCACACCCCATATTTCCTACACGTCTCTATTTCCTTTTAGCATTAATACGTCCCATTGGAATTGCAAGAATAATGTCAGATATCGGCTTGATTTTGAAATAACCTTTGTATTTTAATCTGATTTTAGAGGGTAGAACCGTTATGAAATCAATTTCAAGGATGGAAGATTTATTTTCGGATCCCACCAATATTTTTCTTGCGGGCCCTTGCACATGTTACTTGGAAAAGTTCTAAGTTAGCTTTAGTTTACACGAACTTATGGGCTTAAAATAAGTCAATATAGGATTGTGTGAGGG